AAGCATGCTGGTAGAGGACTTCAGTCTTCTCAATGTTGAGAGAGAGGCCCAAAGTTTGGTAGGCTTCTGTGAAGAGATCAAGAGCAGTTTGGAGGTTTTCCCCAGTATGTACATGTATGGTGCAGGTCATCAGCAAATTGAAGGTCAAGAGTGCCCGTTTTGAATACTTTTGTCTTCAAACAAAAATGTCCCAGATTGAAGAGCTCTCCTTCCATTCTATATTCTATGCTCATCTCAGAAAGAAGGAGGTCCTTAACAAGAACCAGAATGATAGTGTAAAAAAAGACAACAAAACTGGGATGATAATGCATGCTTGCTTGATCCCAGTTCAGATAATAAATGGATCTATGTCCAATCCACTACAAAGAATGGTAGCAGTCATCTGTTCACGGAGAAGCCTCAGGACCTTGATGTATTTTTCAGGGCATCCAGATCTGGCCGGGATTTTCTAGTGGCCTTACTGAGGTCAATGAAGGCCATATACAGGTCCTGGTTTTGTTCCTGACACTTTCTTGGACCTGGCAGGAAACAAAGATTACATCACAATTGCCTGCAAGATGGTCTGAAATCACACTGAGATTCCAGAAGTACTTCCTCAACAAAAGATGGAAGACAGTTCAGGAGGATGTGGGAGAGGATTTTCCCTGCTGTGGAAAGGAGGGCACTACCTTAATTGTTCCCCCACATAGACTTACCTCTTTCCAAAGTCACACTGTTGGAGTTCCTCAGGCCCCTAAGGATCTCTTTGTTGTTCCAAATTTGAAGAATAAGTCTATGGAGTCTCAGTACCAGTTCCCCACTGCCAGCCTTGAAGATTTCAGCAGGTATGCCAACCAGTCCAGTAGCCTTGTTGTTCTTGGTTTTCTTGATGGCACAACAGACTTCCTCTGGGATAGGAGAGTCAGCAAGAGATCCTCTTTTGCAGCATTGGGGAACAGACTCATTGTTGACATCCATCAGAATTGACTCACAGTTCAGGAGTGCCTCAAAGTGCTCTTTCCATCTAGCTTGGATAGGTTAATTGTCTTTAAAGATCACTGAACCATCCTGTAATTCCATGAAAGTAGGACCATGAGAGGTTAGACCATAGATGGCTTTCATTCCCTGGAAGAAACGATGCACATCATGTTTGTCAGCAAAGAGCTGATTCTTCTTGAATTTATCTTGCCATCACTGGTATTTAATTTCCCAGATCCTCCTCTGAACTTTGGCTTTGAGGAGCTGATATATCTCCTTCTGCTTGGATGAGGTGTCATGAGCCCTTCTCTTCCAGAGAACAATGAAAATTGTAGACCATCCAGTCTGACCTCAGTAACTGAGAGCTACCAAAGCAAATTATTTAGCACTCAATTTGTAAATATCTACAGGTGGTAGAAATGATCATTAACAGCCATCATGGAATTTTTTAAGGGAGATTAAAAAAGCAACCCAACTTGGTTTCTTTCCTTGAGACAGTCACTGAGTAAGTGGGTAAGCGGAATGCCTAATATTAAATATGGTCTTAGCAGATCTGGACTTTCATAAGGCTTTTGACATAATCCCATAGGTCATTCTTATAAACTGAAGAAATGTGACATAGATAAAGTTATCACTAGGTGGCTACATAATTGGTTAAATAACCACAAGTAAAGAGTAACTATTAATGGACTGATGTCAGACTAGCAGGTTGGGGAGGACCGGGTTAGAGAGCTTCTGGAGGGGCTGGACGAGTTCAAGTCAGCGGGTCCGGATGATCTCCACCCCAGGGTGTTGAGGGAGCTAGCTGGGGTTATTGCAGGGCCCCTGGCACGGCTCTATGAGCGATCGTGGTGCTTGGGCCAGGTGCCAGATGATTGGAAGGTAGCAAATGTGGTCCCCATCTTCAAGAAGGGGAAGA